GTGCCTCAGCAACGGGCGCATGGCCAGGGCTCGTAACGCGCCAGATGACGGGCGCCCCTGGGCGGCGCTGCCCGTCGCCCAGGATATCGGCAAGCGCAGATGCGCGACTCGGCCGAAGACGGGCCCATTCTCGCAGGGCGCAATGACGGCGTTGACGAAGCCGTCGTGGATGAGAAATCGGCGAAGTACTCTCCACAGCCACCGCCTCGCAAGCGACGGAAAGGCCGCCGTAATATCGAAGCCGATTCGAGGCTGCCTTGGCTCTCGCGCCCAGCCGCGCAGTGAAGCCCACCTGGATATGTCGCGACTCCTGCTGCGCTACTCCTGTGAGTTTGTGGTTGATAGCCGCCGCCAAAGTCTTGATGTCGCGATTCGTCTGCGTGACAAGCCTCAGGGCGCGCGGGCGCCGCGTGATCTCGACGCCGCCCTCTGGCTCGCCCCTCTTTGGCGCCGCCGCCAAGTCGCCGTAACTGAGGGGAAGCAGGTCGCAGAGGCACTCCGGGGGCCTGTCGCGCGCGGCCCGCGCTGAGTACGCGGGCCGATCTGGCCCCGGCGCGGCATCTGCGACCGCTGAGCGTCGGCGCCCCGACGTCAGGAGCTGGTCGAACAGGCGAATGCTCATCCAGTTGAGCGTCGATGGCGCCGCCCCCCGAAATGGGGCCCTGAACGATCGGCCCCTAATGTCCGATGATGGCGTTGATGATTTCCTAGGGGCGTCGTTCAGCTCCCGCCTCGACAGCGCGCCGCGGGCCCGAGGCTCGCCTCCAGGCGGCGCCGCGGGAAGCCCGCCCGCGCGAGGCGACGTCGACGTTGCGCCCGCTGCAGGGCGCGACGCCGCGCGGAGCGCGCGATCTCGAGGGCTGCAGCCGCGCTCGAGGGCCGGGCCCCGCCCGCTTGCCGTCGGCGCTGGAAACGCGCGGCGGCCGGGGGCTGCCGCCGTTCAACCCGCGCGATGAGCAGCATCCGCGCGCGGGTCTCGAGATCCAGCGGGTCCGAGATGGCGATGCTTTGGGCCCCTGCGTCTGTGTCCCCACGAGCGCTGATGCGCCGCCCCCCGAGCTCCGCGGTGGCTGCCGAGTCTCGCCGCGAGGAGCACGTCCTGCAACCGTGCGCAGCGCGCGATGGACCTCGTCGCGATGCGACAGGCATCCTCCGCAGCTTTCGATGGGTCTCTGGTCGGCAGCTGGGTCAGCTCGCCCCTGGTCGCCCCCGCCGCGTCGAGCATGATGGTCTTGCAGGATTGCCCGGCTCCGGCCGCGCTAAGACGCCCCCGGGAGGCACTTGGACGCGCTGGGCAATGCGGCGTTTGAAACGCTCGCGCATGAAGGTGAAGAGAGGGGTGTGCTAGGGGCCCTAGTGCACGACGCTGTTCACTTGCGATTTGAACTTCAGGATGGCGTGGTCAATGGGCTGCCAGTCGCTCAGTTGCGCGGCTACTTGAAACGCGGTGACTGCGCGCGCCGTCTCCTGCAAGATGAGCGCCGAAGCCGACGCAAAAATCCAATCTATGACGCTGAAGGACTGGCGCGCCATGGAGCAAGGCGGCCCGTCCGAAATATTGTAACCCCCGCCGCTTTGAACGGCCTGCGCAAGCCGTCGCCGCGCGACCGCGCGTTTGAATCCAGCCGGGCCCGTCTGGCCCCCTGTCTGACGCCCGCGCTCAGGCCGTGGTTCTGCGCGCATAGGGTGCGAAGGTCCCGTCGAAGATCGGGTTTGGCGATGCTGGTCAGAGAGATGCGGCCATTGACATTGATCTGCCGACGCACCGTGGGGCGCGGGGCAGGCAGGTAACCCACCAAGTCTGCCTCCGAATGCCACGGAATGAGGGCCCCTTTGCCCCCGCCGCCCCTGCGGTCGCCCAGGTTGAGCGCGACCTTGGACTCCTCGGGGCACGGGTTGAGGGCGGCGCGCAGCGCGTCGGCGCAGCCCCTACGCAGCCGAAGCAGGATAGGGGCCCTCCGGAGCATGAAGCGCTGCAGCCGCTGGAACTCCGGGCGCCTCTCGCAGCCGTCGAGGCGCGCGAGCCCGCGAGAGTTCTGGCTGAGCACCTGCGAGGGTATCTGCAGGGCTCCTCGCGCCGGCCAGGGAGCAGCGGGGCCGCCGCCACCCGGCCCCCACGGGGGAAAAGGAGGCAAGGCGAGGCCAGGGCTGTATCGGGCCGACCGTCTGAGTTACACTCGACTCTGCTACGCATTGCACCTTACAACACGTGCGACCTGCTGTGCGCGCGCGCAGTGAAGATCAGGAGCGACCCCCCTGTATGAGACCTGGAGTTGCCATCGCTCGACCTAGCGGCGACCCTCGAAAAACTTGAAACGCACCAGGAGACTTAGCTTCAAAAGCTGGTCCAAATCTGCTGATTTATAATTCTTTCTGCTACGCGCACGCGACCTGTCATGGCTGCTTCTATTCACTCTGCCTCTACCTTCACTCTCCTGCTGCTGCCTCTCACGCAGGTATGCATCACCCCCCCGCATCGTTCCACCGGCTATCTGGCATACCGCGTGACCGGAGGACGTCGTAGACACAGCCAATCTGAAGAGACCACCTTGCTGGGACGCCGCCCGCGCACTCGCCGCCGCGCGAACGCCGCCCCCCCTGCCTCTCATCTGGACCGCTGTCGGAGCACGAAACGCCATGCATAGAAGTCCAATCCCATCAACATGGTGCGCCGTAGATGCGGAGGTCGCCGAAGCTTCGACCATGCCGTGGACCCCCCCCTCGCAGCGGCCAGGTCACCGTCGCCGACGGATCCCAGAAGTGGGCCCACGCCACTCCGCTGACCAAGAGGGGGCCCCCCAGACGCCGTCGGAGATTAGGTCGCCATACAGACATTCCCACCGCTCTTACCTCCCCCCCCTGCACAGCGGCCAGATCACCGTCGCCAGCAGATCCCAGAAGTTGGCTTTCGCCATTCCGATGGCTGGAAAGGAGGACGAGGGGGGGGAGGAGGACGAGAAAAGGAAAAACGACGGAGAAGCGAGGCGACGCGAGCGCGCGACGTCGGTCTGGCGGGGCCAGCCTTCGGAGGGCAGCGCGGCGGGGCCGGAGCCCTTAGTGGTCGAGGAGGTGGGGAAGTGAGCGTCGGGTGTGAGTGCGAAGTCGAGAGGTGGATGTCGAAAGCTGAAGGTGAAACGTTGGAGGTGACAGGTCGTGGTGAGCGTCGGAGGTTGGATGCTGGAAGATGGAAGTTAGTCGGGTGAGGTTGCCGATTGTGAGGCGCGGTCGTAAGCTGGAGGTGTGCGCTGAAGGTAAAAAAACTGGAAGCTGGAGGTCGGACAGCTGGTTGTGCACGCTGGGGGTCAGCAGTTTGAAGCTGGAGGTCGGACAGGTGGCTGTAGGGGTCGATGGGCGAAAATCGAAAAACTGGATGTGGAAGGTTGGAAGTCGACGCTCGGTGGTGCTCGCTGGGAGCCGGAAGCTGTAAGCTGGATGCCTGTTGGTGAGGTTGTTATCGATCGGCGCGTGAACGCCGACAGCTGGAATTGCACGTTTGAAGGAAAGCAGACCAAAATCATACGTCGACAGCTGGGGTTGCATGTTTGCTGGAGGAACAACGGAGAAAAAAAGCGCAAAACATAGCGCAATCCATCCGCCCTCGGCCTACGTCCAGTCGTCGGCTGAAAGGGCCCAGTGGCCTACTTGACCTCAACACATGAAACGAACAGTTGACGAAAAAGGTTGTCCATAACGAACAAGGTCTGTGCTTGTTACCCCGCTTTGTGAGCCTCCTGGGGCCCTCGTGCCGCCAAACCTGGAAGTCCTTTGACATCATCTCTGGCACGCGCTCCAGGACAGGTCCACCAGCCGATCTGGAAGGACAGAGATGATTATCGTTTTTTTCCCGCGGGGGCACTCCAGTCGTCAGCGGGGGGCCAGGGCTGGACCTGAGGCCGTTGTACACGACACAGTACGCCGAAGACGACGAAACCGACCGCCAGCGAGATCGCTAATAGCGTGGAGCTGCCAGCCGTCACGGGGAACAGCCTGGCCTGCCGTCCCGAGAACCACTGATCTTCCTCGCCCGCCCACGCACGTCCAAGAGCTCCTCGGAGTCATGGAGGTCGGCTCTTGGCGGTGGAGTAAGCAGGATATAACGCACGCGCGTCAACGAGCGCCGAGCTGCTGGTACTCTTCGGGTTCCGCGCAAATGTGCCTGCGACGCTGCTGAACCAGCAGCAGCAAAAGGCCAGCGGAGGTGCTGAAGGCAAAACGGCCGCCGTTACCGTACCCGCGGGCGCCGCACCAGGCAGCGCCTTGAAGGCCTACGTCTCGGTCCTGGCCACCACCGAAAACCGCCACAGGCCGTCGGCCCAGCTGTCGTCGAGCAGGTCGACGTCGTCCGATTCCCCGAAGGCCGCCGCCGAGTCCCCCACCGACATCGCGTCGTGCCACCCGTCCAACGCAACGCCAGCAGGAAATACCACGCTCGACTCCGCCAGACCCACCATGGATTGCTCGGTCGCACCGCCGCCGCCTCCCAGCTCCACGACAGGGGGCATCGCGGCACAGCGAAGGCTGCCCGCAACAGCCCCTCGGCAGTAGCCGCAGCCCTTCGCGGGAGCGTGCTGCTGCAAGGCCGCCCGCCGCGTGCGCCGCCATCAACGCGCCGCGCGACACCTCCAGGGTGCCACCGCACGCGCGCTTGCGTACCCGTTATCGGCCCAGCTGCGGTGCGCCCTCGGGGACGTGCTCAGCGACGCGAGGTTTGAGACAAGACAGTGAACGGGGAGGGGCGGACGAGAGAAAGGGAGGGGGAAGAGGAGGACGATGTGGCAGGCAGGACGAGAACTGCGAAGGATCAGGCAGCGCCGCAGGGCCGCGGTGGCCGTCTCCCGGCCGGCTTTTCATCCTGGCTAGTTGTTTGACGGTCCCCTGGCCCGCGGGCCCCTAGAGAACCAGAATGACAAAATGTGCTTCCGATCGAGAAGGATGCCCAGCCCATTTTGGCCGGTCGCCGAGCGAAGGAGCAGGGTCACCATGGGACAGCCCCCAAGGTC